TTTGTCTCAAGTTTTGTCATCTAACGCTATTTTCGCCTCACCCCCTCCCCTAAACCTATATACTCACCGAACCGAACCGATTGAGGTTTATTTCAGTCTTCCAACTTGTTTGAAACTAGGTGTTTTGTTAAGGTCGTCTCGATGGGTTTAGATAGACATGATCTACACGGCAGTGCTATCTCTTTTGAGCTTAGTTTCTCAGATTTGTTTCTTTTGTTTTGTTTTCTAAATTATCCTTCAAAGTTAAGTCGGGAAGATAAAGAGATCCGATCGGGCGGACTGTGGTTTTCATATAAGTACTTATCTGTCTTGCAACTCACAAGAAATGAACGAAATCCGTTTCTTGAGCGCTCTTACGAAGAAAGGCAGGCGCTTCAGGAAAGTTCACAATAACGTTTTCGTGTAAAGTCTTCGTGATAGGTTTAGCTCGTGTTTTTAGCACACAAATTTTCATTGAAAAGTGGCGCACTTGACCTACGCGTCTTGCATGACGTTTAAAACGAATATGGAAACGAGCTCTTAAATGACACGGAACAACCTGTAGGTAACAGCACAAAGTAGGACTGACACCATTTCAAAAAATAAACAACAAAACGACAAAAAACGACAAAAAAAATCGAGTAATTTTATCAAAGACCAAATATTTCACGAGCCCGTAGCAAATTACGAATGCAATTTGTAGTCTTTGAAAATTTTTCAAATGCCCCTTTACAAGAAATTGCACGAGAAATCATGTTGTTACCTAGTAATAATATACATGAAAAAGGCATCTCTCAAACGCAAGGCAAACGAAATTTTGACAGCGTGCGCGCTATTTGTAATTTGTATTCATGTTTCAGCTTTGCACTCGTGTTACATGACAAGTGCACTCGGTTTCAGCCAATCAGAAGCGCGTAAATTTTTCGTGTATATTTTTAGTATAGGTAACAACATGATTTCAAGTGCAAATTGGTGTTAGTAAGCACAATTAAATTTTTCAAAGACAACAAATTGCATTCGTGTTACAACTTTGCACTCGCATTACATGAAAAATGGACTTGTTTTCAGCAAGTCAGACGTGCGTTATCTTTTCAGGTATATTATTACACGCAGGTAGAGAGTGAGATTTCGGATCAAGTTACCGACGAATAAACACCGACCCGACAAAAAGCAAAAGGAAAGGCAAATGAGAGGTTTGTAAGCATGCCAAGCGCCAAAAAGCAAAGAAAGCACTCGACTACGTCTCGTGTTTCCCCCTTTGTGCTCCAGCTGCTTGCTGCTGCTTTACAACAAAACAAAGCTTCTTTATTTTTCTTTATTCGTCACCCATTCACGATTGAAATTATTGTCATTTGAAATATTTGTTGTTCTCGGCCAAATAGAGACTAATTTTCACTATTTCACATCTTATCTGCACTCTGCTGTAGTTTTGAGAAATGAAACACATCAGATAATGAAGTAAATAATATTCCGCTTTTGTTTTAAATTTCAGATTGGTCCATTTTTTTTTTAAACCAATGACTGGCGTCAAATTCTGTGCAGGAGGCGTCTGACAGAACATTCTAGGATGATTAACGTTTGCAGCCTTGAATACGACTTAACTATCATTATCCATTGTCCTAAGTAAATTTTAAGAGTTGATGGGAGCGAGATGGTTTTATAAAACCCTTATATCAACAATTCTTTTTTCCTAAAACGTTTTTGCTTAAATTTTCTTAAACTAGAAATTCAATGAAATTGTGGTTTTGGATCTTCGGCTGGTTCCTCTGCATGCTCACGATGGTGGTGAAACCTTGAAAATATTTGACATTGATGAAGCGCCGCCGAGTCATTCAAATGGTTTTTAGATCTTGGTGAATTCCTTTTCTTTTCACTCTTACTTTTTCTTTGTTGTCAGTTAGACTCAGTTCATTCGAACATGGGATGACCAACGTCAGCTACTTGTATTTGCTTTTCGAAAAACTCTTGTCCTTATGCTAATCTCATTTTCTTACATCCATGTTTCTTGTTACTTACAATCTGAACTCTAGGGATCGCACTGTAACCAGACAACTGAATTTTTGTCATCGGGTCGTTAAAGTTCAAGCTCGAAACAATTCATCTGTAAAATGGGTGGTTTTGGTAACGTGTGTGTTTCTATTGTGTTACGGAATATTCTTGCATTGTAGTTTATTATTTTTAGCTGGTCATAAATGTGGTAACGATTTTTATTACAAAATAACTCCACAAGTTATTAACTCCGGAATAAACCGTAAAGTTTACGCTTTCTTCAAAAGAGATATAAAGCAAGAATAGGGGAGGCTTCTCTTCAAAAGGCGTTGTTATTTAACAACAGAATAGTTCCGGCGCAAGAAAAACATTAGCTGATGCATATACTTAAAAATCTCCTAGATCCCGAGGACTTCTGGTTCAGAATCTTTTCGTGACACATTGAATCTTATCTAAACTGCTGTTCAGTTAAAAAGCTTCCGATGAAACAAAGATAAGTCACCTGTGCTAGAGAAGTAGTGTCGATATTACATATGTCTCAAATATTTAAGACCACATATTGATTATTTTGAGGACGTACTTTACTGGAGAAAATGTTTTTCTTAAATTAATCATTTCAGCTGGCATGTATTTTAGTCTTAGAAACATCTGGTTCTTATAACTTTGAGCTTGCGTTGTATATTTTAATGATATAGAGTAAAGCAAAATATCATTTTCCTCAATTTAGCTATACAATACAATACAATACAATATTTATTTGCCATATACGACATTTACACATGGAAAAAAAAAATGAAGAAAATTGATGACAGAAAATAAATGGCTAGAAAACCTGAAAGAAACCACGAGGCTTATAACAAGTCAGGCTTTCTCACTTAAAATAACTAATCTTATATTAGAATTACAATATGGACTTATGGTAATTAACTTTGACCGCGCACACGTACACACACACACACGCACACACATATTAAGTAAGTTAGTTAAGAATTACTGCCTTACAGAAGCTAATACTTAGAGAGAAGAAATTCCTTAAGCTTTCTTTTAAAAGAAGCGGAGGAGGGAGAACTAGTTATGTCAGAATTTAACGAATTATAAAAGTTTGGACCTTGAAAGTAAATTGAAAACTTCCTGGTGTTCGTTCTGCACAGTGGCAAACGGAAGGACTGAGCATTCCTAGTATTATAATTGTGGATTTGACTATTCAGTAAAAAAAAGTTATTGAATTTGGAAGGGAGTGTAGAGTTCTCGAATGAAAACATAAAAGTACCTAATTGAAACGAATGGATATCATGAAATTTTAAGAGTTTAAGTTCCTTTAAAATAGGGCCAGTATGGGCAATGTATGTAGAATTGCTTACTATTCTTAACGCACGTTTCTGTAAGGTTACAATTCTTTGAAGGTTTGACTTATAGGTACCAGCCCAAGCTAAATTGCAATAATACAAATATGGAAGGATCATAGAATTGTATAAAGTACGAAGGGAGTGAGTAGAGAGAAAAAACCTAGATTTATGAATAATACCTATAGATTTGGATAACTTATTTGCTGTTACGGATATATGCGATTTCCAGGTCAAATTGTCATCTAATAAAACACCCAAAAACATGGTCTCAGAAACACGAAGAATAGGCTGCTCATTTATGAAAACTTGAAATTCAAAGGATTGCTTCTTTTGCCAAGGCTTGAATACCATAAAATTAGTCTTGGCTAAATTCAAGGAGAGCCGGTTTGCTGCAAACCAGGTTGACAATTTGTTTAATTCTCTATTTAATGTGTTAATTAGGTAAACAGGATCATTATGGGAGATAAATAAGTTTGTATCATCAGCAAACAAGATTGCATCAAGCAGGGAAGCATTGTTCAAATCATTAACATACAGGATAAAAAATAAGGGACCAAGAATAGAACCTTGAGGCACCCCACAGGGAATCCCCTGTGGGGCAGATCTAACGTTATTAAATTCGACAAAGCACACCAATTAAAGAATTCCAATATCACTTTGATTGAACGATGTCAAAACACGTCAAGGATGTCATGAATTGCCTCTGCTTTACGGCAAGGCGAGAGACTCTCTAACACAGCGACCACACAATGTGGTGGTTTCGCGCCAATCTTTACATTCGATGACGTCATGCCTCCAGTAGATCGCTGTTCCATTTGCGGTTTGTATTTTCGGTGGTTTCGGCGAGATAGCCTGCCTTGTTATTACAAACAGTCATCCTTTTAGTTTAAACACTCTAACGAGGCCACTACTAAACAGTGACTATTGTTACATCCTTTTCCTTATTAAAAAAAAAACAACAAAAAAACAAGATAAACAAAAAAAAAAACAAAACAAAACAAACGACGTAAGTGAGTTCAACTGTTCAAAGTTTGTGGAACGTAGAAAGCTTACATCCCAGTAACATAATCCCTTAAATAAGTTGGCTTCTTAACAACTCTGACTGATCGCGTCGTTGGGCCTCCCACAGGTAACCCACTAGGCTTAGCAAGTGGCTCCGGTTGCCGAGATGCCATCGCACGCCCATTGGTCGTATCCACTCGACCACTGGGTACGGTTGTCCGCTTACACGGCGCGGACAGCTCATGACCAGTCTGTGCTTGTTCAGGTAAGGATGTCGACTGTTGATCCGATTGCTCAACGCCTTCTTCAGCCACCAAAGCAGGTCTTGAATTCCTGCAGGCCTCCTTTGTTTTCCTCAGGTGACGGCGATTTCGACGATATCTGGCTCCATCTTCGGTAGCCACCTCGAAGGACCGAGTTCCAACACACCTTTCAACATTTGCTTTCACAGCTTCTTTACTCGGATTTTCAGGCGGCACGAGTTGCACTGTATCTCCACCACTGAGTGCTCCCAGATCCTTAGCCCCCCTATTGGAAGCAAGGACTTGTCGTTCTTTCTTGGCGAGAAGCTTCTGATAGATCTTGGGCTGGACAACTGGCCTGAGAAGCTTAGGAATGATGGGTAGTTGTGCTCTTGTGCGCCTTGACATCAACCGCTGCACCGGACTGGTGCCCAATCCCTGACTAGGCGTGTTTCTGTATTCGAGGAGAGCGAGGTATGGATCTGTTCTGACTTTTCTTGACTTCCTCATTTTTAGCGGAGTTAACAGCTGCTTCTACCTTTCCGTGGCTTTGCGGATAAGCTGGCGAACTTACATGCACAAAGTTCCACTGGCGACTGAATTCCTTAAATTCAGTTGAGGTAGACTGAGGACCGTTGTCAGATACACACGGCTCCAGGATTCCATTCCTTGCAAAGTGCGACTTTAACTTCTGTACTACCGCCCCCGAAGTAGTTTTGTCAAGGGAATCGATTTCCCAGAAAGAAGAATAGTAATCAACACAAATGAGACAGTTTCGACCCCTGTAAGTGAACAAGTCAACTCCAACTTTCGCCCATGGCCGGTCGGGCACTTCATGAGGAATGAGAGTCTCCTTAGGCTGCTTCCGGTCAAACGCCCTGCAGACATCACACATTTCAATAAACTGCTTGATTTCAGCGCTCATTCCTGGCCAGTATATACTTTCTCTAGCGAGCAAAAGGGCGCTTACAACTCCACTATGAGCATAATGCAGACGATACAACATGTCTCGACGCAGCGACTTTGGGACCACTACTGTTTCTCCTCTAATGACAATGCCATCGCAGACGCTCAACTCATCACGAACGTCAAAGAAGGGCAACACCAGGTGAGATAGCTCTCCTTTAGTTTCAGGCCAACCAGCCTTGATGACTTTAATCAGTTCTAGAAGGCTGTTATCCTTCTGCGTGTGGTCTGGAATTTCTTGAAGCGTACTCGGCTTCAAACGGATGTGTGCTGCGTCATGTTGATACTCTCAATCTTTAAAGCGACATCCTGGCTTCCATCGTAGGGTTAATAAGCCCAACTAGGGTGTCGGCCAGATCCATGGTGGAGCCCTTCTTGTAGCCAAGGCTGACGTTGTACAACTGGACTCGCATGAGCATGCGCTGAAGCCTCTTCGGAGTTCGATGCAGTGGCTTCTTGAAAATAACTTCCAGAGGCTTGTGGTCTGATTCCACAAACACTTCTTTTACCGTAAGTGTAAGTATGAAACCTTTCCAAATCGTAAACAACAGCCAAAAGCTCCTTCTCAATCCGGGCGTACCAAGACTCTGCATCGGTTAGCGCACGGCTCGCACAGGCAATCGGCTGACCCTTCTGAAGTAGGATGGCACCCAGTCCTTAATCTGATGCATCGCACTGTAAGGTGAGGCTCTCTGTTGAGTCGAAAAATTTGAGGACAGGTGCCTTTGTGACCAGCAGCTTCACTTGTCGGACAGCACTGTCATGTATGTCAGTCCAGAACCACTCTACATCTGGTGAACTGAGCTTACAGAGTGGCTCCAATGCATCACTTAGTCGAGGCAAGAACTTGCTCAGGTAATTTGTGAATCCAATAAATCTTCGTACACTGGCCACGTCAGTTGGCGTGAGCATTTTCAACACCGCCTTAACTTTTGCGGGATCTGCTTGAAGACCCTTTCTGATATCACGTGACCCATAAATAGGACTTCTTTGCGTCGCAGATTCACCTTGTCCTGGTTCAACTTAATGTTCTACTCCCGGCACCTCCGCATTAAGGAGTGGAAATTGTTGTCATGATCTGTCAGTGCTTCTTCCACTGCAGACCCCTCGCCAAAACTCAAGATATCATCATGAATGGTTAATACATCCGTCAGGCCGTCAAGTGCGTGGTTAAGCCTTCGTTGAAACTCCTCCGGGGCCGAACAAAGACCAAAGGGCAGGCGACGCCAGCAAAATCTTCTAAAGGGAGAATTGAATGTTGTTAAGCGTGAACTGTCATCGTCAAGTTCAACGTTCCAGAAACAGTTCATTGCGTCATAGTGGAGAACACTTTAGCCCTGGAAAGCTCAGGTAGAATGTCTTCAACTGTCGAGGTTGGGTAGTGGCTCCTCCTAAGCACTTTGTTGAGGTCCTTAGGGTCCAAGCAAACACGAATCTGTCCATTAGGTTTTTGCACGATAACGAAGCTCGAAACCCAAGGGGTAGGCTCTATGACTTTTTCTGTGATCCCGAGACTCTGCAACCGTTCCAACTCTCGTTTCAGCTTTCCCTTGAGCGCGACCGGTACTCGTCTGGGAGGATGGACCACTGGCTTAGCATTCTCTTCAATTTCCAGCTTGTACTGCCCCTTCAATTTTCCAGTGCCTTGAAACACATCTGGGTACTCCTTTAAGACCTCTTCCATCGAAAGGGGACCCTGACTACCGCGCTGAACCTCAGTATTGACGGTCATAACATTTTGGTGTTGCACCCTGACCAAATCCATCTGCTGCATCGCTGGATTTCCTAAAATCGGTGTTGACTGGTCATCGTCCACAACAACAAATTCGATCTGATACGTTTTGGAATTCTTGGGGTTAAATACAGCTACAGTGCACGTTCCAAGAGGTTTCATGATGGTGTTGTTATACATTGTGAGTAATTTCCGCGTGGGAAACAGTTCGGCTAAGAAACTTTGCGGGAATCAAATTGCATGTTGCGCCACTATCCAGTTGAAACTTAACTAGTGTGTTTTCGACGCTAATCGTAGCAAACAAATTTTTAGCATATTCCAGATCGCTTGCTACATGAACCCTAACTACTTAACTTTCATCCACCGAGTGGAGCGTGAGGCAGTATTCATCGATCTCGCTTTCACTTTCTGATTCGACGACGTTCACTCTCGTTTTAGAAAGGCATTGAGAAGCGAAATGATTCATTCTTCCGCAAACCGAACACCTCTTCCCGAACGCTGGGCAACTTTTCTTGGCAGCACGATGTTTTCCACCTCAGAATTTGTATCTCTCGCGTTCCGATCATCATTTTCCCGCCTTTTGGTCGCAGACTTGTCATGGCTTTTGTAAGCTGATACCTTGCCGCGCTTCGTTTGGTCCTTCAATGAGTTTACTGCTTCGCCCTCTTCCAAAGTTTTGGTCCGTGTTTTCGACAACTCGGCTGCTCTACAAATGCTGAGGGATCTTTGTAAATCAAGATCTGGGATCTTAAGAAGTTCTTCTCGAAGTTGCTTAGGGTTTCTGGATTCCACAAATGATCCGGTCTCTCACCAGCGAATCTTTAAGATCACCGAAGTTACAGGTCGCGGCGAACGGCTTCAAATCTGTAACGGACTTTTCTTGTGATTCACCCGGGTCCTGAGTACGGGAGAAAAACTTGAACCCCACAACAGTTTCATTTTTTCTGGGATTACAATGCCCGTCGAACACTTCTAACACCTACGTTAAGGTTCTTTCCTAGGCGGGAATTTCGAAGGCCATCGAATCATAAATTTCTCTTCCTTGATTGCCGATTAAATACAGAAATAACTTTTAAGTTACTTTCGTTGCTTCGTCTCTGCAGTTCTTTGCCAGATCCATGTACAATTCTAATTCTTGCTTCCATCTTTTCCAACTGTCAGCCAAGTTTATCGCATCGAAGTCTAACTGAGCGGGAGGTTTAAGCTGTGTAATCCTGTCAGTCGTTCCCGCATTTGCACTTGCCTGTTGTCCATCAGAGTTTCAAATAAAATAAATTGAAGTAATTTAAAAGGTGTAAAATAGGACCTGAAAAAAAAATTCAGGTCCTATTTTCAACTACTAGTTCAGTAATGGTCTTAGCTGCAAGGATCTCTTAAATTCGTTTCTTCACCGCAGTGCAAATAAATGCAAGAGTCCTTTGAGGTTAGAAAGCAAATCTGTAATATGAGTACATTGCATTAATTGGCAATTTGCATTTAACATAATTGACTGCTGCTTCATGAGAAAATCCATATTAATGTAGAGATTTACTAAAACTTAGTTTGAATAATAAATTTCATGATCTTTAAGTTATAAACATATACATGTATGTATATCTCTTGGTAAAAATTTTGTATAGCATACTTTTTATTGAGCCAAAGTTTGAAGCCTCTAAAATTACTCCTTTTCTTAAAACCTTCACATTCAAGGTATTGAGAATTTCTTGGAATTAATTTGGACGTCAGGGTATTTAAATTGCCTCAAATTCAAATCCCAGAAATTCCCCAGAATTCCACCCTTCTTAAATTATAGGTAGTTTGCATAGGTGAGAATTCCTTGGAATTCCAAGTCCTCACAGAACTGGAGTTTTCCTTTTCCAGAAATTCCCAAATTCCAAGCTTTTCAAATCAGAGCTTATTTGCATAGTTGGAAAACTGGGAATTCAGTTGGCAAGGGTTATTTGCATAATTGGGAATTTTTGAGAATTCCTAGGAATTCCTAGGAATTCCCAGAAAACTGGGAATTCAGTTCGCAAGGGTGGGGGAGGGGGTGGGGGTGGTATTTTGTTCCTTGCCCTGCCAGCTTTTTTTCCGTCTGCAATCCTTTTTCTTTTTTACCCAATATGAGGGGGAGCCAGGCCCCCCCATAGATCTGCCACAGCTCAATCAGGCTCTCAAAAAGCCCCACCTAGGAATTTCAAAAACGAAAAAAAAGTAAATTCATAAGAAAAGAAAAATGAAATTCACATCACTTGGATCCTGAAAAACCTCTTGGGAAATTTCTCTTAGCATTTTTTTATTTACAGTGTGCTTTTTATTGCTAGTATTTTGCATCTTTCCATCTACAACTTTAATTGTAAAAAAAGAAACATGATTTAAATGTGGCCAGATTAACTTTTATACTACAGAATTTTTTGGCGAATTTATCTGTGGAATTTTAATAATGTACTTATTCAATTATTTTTCACAGTTGATCAAACTTTTGATAAAGTTCAACAGAGACCACGCAGTTTATCTGACGTTTAAATTAATTTCTTTCAAAAACCTTGGACCACCTCCCAAGAAAAGCGCTTGCACATTTTGGCTGAAGCAGAGAAATCACGACGCAAGCGGGCTGAAAAAATTGGTGAACATGCTAGCTTATCAATCTTTTGAAGCCGATTCCAGTCTGAGTCGAGTCTGTTAACTGGTGAGAAAGGCGAAGGGACAGATGGTGATGAAAGTTCATCTGTGACGAGCAGTACCCCTGAAGGTTAGTTTTTCCTACTACCAAAACTTAATAATTTCCGGCTGTTAATCTCTATTGGTCTATATTTACAGAACTTGCCCGTATTTAATAATAATAATAATAATAATAATAATAATAATAATTAAACTCTTATATTGCGTGCTTTCCATGAAATGATCAAGCGCGCATTACATGATTTCTATCTATAGCAATTTAATACAGGGTATCTAACTGATAATTATTTAAAATATAAAACATATGTTAAGATACTAGTAATTATCGTGATAAAAATGAATAAAAAGCTTCCCTAATTTAATACAGGGTATCTAACTAATAATTATTTAAAATATACTATGATAAAATTAAAATATACAATAGATGTTAAGATACTAGTAATTTTCGTGATAAAAATTAATAAAAAGCTTCCTTAGAAAGGTGCGTTTTCAAATGGCACTTACTCCTTTTTGTTAAGCTCTGTCTATCTACATGTAGAACTCTGACACTATTGCTCTCTAGAACCTAAACTTTTTTTCATCCAAACAATAACCACAATTATCATAATATAGCAGAAATGTATGATAGAATAACAAAATCCACCCTAAAAAACAATTTAAAAAGCAACTAGGTTACAGGTTCAACAGGTAAAAGCCTTGGACAATGATCACTCCCAAAACACAAAATAAAAGCTCGAATAAGTCTTGGGTTGAACTTCTAGGTAAAACTGAAAATAAATCAGTCCCCTTCCCTACCTATGTAGTGCTTAGGAAAAAAAAATGCAAACAATAAATCTCCTTAGTATTTAACGTGAATTGCACCGCGTTCGCCCCCTATCGAGTTCGCCCCTACCTTATGCCGTGTTCGCCCCCACACTTTTCGAGTTCGACCCCATCAAGTCGAGTTCGCCCCTTGATTGAGTGATATCCAGATGAGTTGATTTATGACGAAGGCACTAGCAGAATGTGCCAAATGTCACGTCAGCGACGATCGTTTTGAATTTCGGCAATTGCGTGGAACCTGCTTGGGAACTGGGTTGACGGAATCAACTAAATACTCTGCGTGGGATCTGGGGTTACCAGAAATAACTGTATACACTGAACTTGTGATAAAGAGAACCACACGGTTTATCTAACGAACACGAAATGTGTTGATCGTAA